AGTAAACAGCCATCAGTGTGCTAATGACTCATTGTTAGGCTGATGGTCCTTCTTGAGCATGTGATCAGCTGGTTTTGGTTGTCAGCAGCAAACTGGTTGATCCACCCTGAGAAGGTGCTATTTAAGAGACTGAGCTGAAAACAGCACCTCAGACTGAGGAAGTCTCTTGGATGAGAGACGAAACGTTTCTACATTTTTTTTGCTTTGTTTTGTTTTTGTTTTTTTGAATGTCCAGAGGACCAGATTGAACTTTTTTGGACTCTGACTTTAAGATTAACTGTTCTACAAAAAAGCTTCTTCTAGTTAAGGCAGATAGCTACGCTTAAGTCCGTGTTGACCAGATCTGATCTTGAAAAAATAGTCCATGCATTCATTACAACCCAGCTGGACTACTGTAATGTGCTTTATGTTGGGTCAGTCAGGTGTCCCTTTCACATCTCCAGCTCGTCCAAACTGCTGCAGCTCGGCTATGAACAGGAACTCGTAGGTTTGAGCACATTTCACTAGTTTTGTCCTCCCTTCACTGGCTCCCTGTACATGTCAGAACTAATTTTAAAATTATCCGGTTGACCTTTAAGTACATAAATGGCCTCGAACCCTCATACCTCTCTGAACTACTAGAACCATATGTTCCTTTTTGAGCGCTGAGATCATCTGATCAGCTGATTTTGGTTGTATCAAAAACCAGTCTGAAGCTCAGAGGAGATCGAGCATTTTCAGTCATGAGCCCTAAACTTTGGAACAATCTGCCCCTCAACATTAGACAGGTCACTTCACTCCCTGTTTTTAAATCTCTCCTAAAATCACATCTGTATTCACTGACATTTAACATAGAATGTGATTTGATTAAGTATTTCATTGTTTCTTATTGTTTCTCATTGTTTTAATGATTTTATTTTTGATGCTTTAATTACATCTTGTTATTATATTTTATTAGTCTTAAATTACCACCTTGATCTTATTGTTAAGCACTTGCTGCGGTTTTAAATGTGCTTTATAAATAAATTTGACTTGACAATCCTCCAACCCGCTTGTCATTAGCTAAGTGCCTCTCAAATTAGCAAGCTAACGTTTAGATAACCTAGCATAGACTATTGCCTTGTTAAACTTTACCCAGAACAATAAATCTAATGTAGAGGTAAATATATGTCCGTGTTTGTAATGTTATCTTTGTTGTCCTCAATGAAATACATTGTTTGCCTGAAATCTTTACTTCTCTGCAAAAAAAAAAAAAAAAACATTAGCCTTCCCCTCCCAATATCTGTACTGACGATAGCCGAAATTTTCAAATGGGACGGGCTCCAATTAGGATACAATGAAAAGATGGTAAAACTAAGACATGTGAAACTGACTCGACTGAAGCAGTTCAACCATCACGCTTCCAGACGAGAGGGACAAACCTACAAGATGAGCTGTTAACATATCTGCTGGTTAAAAATTATCCCAAACATCTCGCCCTGTTAGTGTCGAAGAAGTAAAAGCTGACTCAGAGAGCAGATTTTAAACTCTATTAACCAGTCAGTGAGGAATTACAGGTGCACGAACAGCTTGAAACAATGTTTTATCTCCCATGAAAAGTAATAAAGTTCAAATCAAGTGCGATGGAGTAAACACACAAACTGTCAAAATAAATGACATGCTATTTTACAAAGTTATGATAAATATTAGACAAACTTGTTGGTACCCTTAAAGATAAGTATAACAGGTGCCTTCAAGCTTTTCATCAGCCATTCAATCTAATTAAAGGGAACAAACATGCCACTGGGTAGTCTGGTGTTGCTGTGTGCGCCACACTCAACATGGACCTTAGAAAGCAAAGGTAAGAGATCTGTCTGAGGAGCTCAGAAAGTAGATTATCGATATTTGTGTTAAAAGGTAGAAGCTCCAAGACCACATCCACGCAACGTCATGTTCCTCTGACAACAGATGCCAATATTATTAAAAGTATATAAGGTTTATGAGACTGTAGCCAACCTCCCACGAGGTCGATGCAAGATTTAATGCAACCCCTGGTTAATTAGAAAGATAGTGAGGATAATAGGAAAAAGCCAATGAAAACATCCAATACCACTCAAGCTGAACTCCAAGGTTCTGATTTCACCATTTGTCACATTTTACAGGAAAATGAGCTCAGAGGAAGACAATTCAGGAGGGTTCCACTGCTTAAAGAAAAACACACAAATGCCAGAATGAAATTCACTAAAATGCATGCTGACAAGCCCCAAAGTTTCTGGGGATGATGTCACATCTGCTGTTATTGATAATTGTGGAATGGCACGTTAGCGCTTGTCAGGAGCAAACTGCATTAAAATATATTTAATGTTCCAGTTTTTTCCACAATTGCTTGCAGACTATAAAATCAACAGAAAACACATAATGGAACACATATTCTGAGGTTACACGACAAACGTTTTCATCCTGTTGGTTTATCACCTGTCTCCAGGCAGACCCCTGTAGCTTGGATGCTCTCTGGCTTCTCTCCATTGTACACCATGCATACAAGCTGCAGGCAGTAGATGCCAATGTCCAGTAACGCTCCTCCACCGAGCTCCTTCTGCGTTGCTCTTGGCACGTCCATCATTGACACGCCAAACTCAGATCGGACCATCTTCACTTCACCCAGCTCCCCATGAGCGAGCAGCCTCCTGATCTCCACAGAGACCGGGAAAAAGCGAGTCCAGACAGCCTGAAGAACACGGACATAGCAACTGTATATAGTTACATTGTAGGGTTCTGTTTTTTGTGAATGACTCTCAGTAGGCTCCACATTTACCTCCATGAGGAAGACGTTGTTCTTCTTAGCAGAGTCCAGGATCTCTTTCACCTCCCTGGTGTTCATGGCCAGAGGCTTCTCACACAGCACGTTCTTCTTGGCGTTTGTAAAGAGCAAACAGGTCTTCAGATGGTACGGGTGGATAACGCCAATGTACACGACATCTGTACGACCAAAGACACAAAACAGAGTTGAGTCTGAAGGACTTTTCTTTTTTTTTTTTTTTTTTTGTTACGTTTAAGTGAAATAGCAGGGAATACGTAAAAAATGACTCAGACCTATGTTTGGATCAGTGGCCAGCTCCTCATAGCTGCCGTATGATCGAGGGATGCCGTGTTTATTGGCAAACTCCTGAGCATCCTCCAACTTCCGAGCTGCAACAGCCACAACCTGAGAAAACACATGAATTACTAAAACCCTGCTTTAATGACAGACTCATTACTGACACATATCCCAACTGCATATATGAACATTTGAGCAATATTCAGTACAATAGATGTTTTACTTTAAAAACAACATTTCCTTAGTGACACCACTATGCCACTTACAAACTTGCACAAAAACAATGTGTCCACGAAAATATTGTGTATTTGTGATGCAGTGAATTTACTCCTAAATGCTGCTTTTATGTTGTTTCCCTTAATTATTTGTTTCCTCAGCAAAAAGTTGATTTATTATTAAACTGATTTTATTTGACCTTTATTTTTACAATTTTTTTTAATTAATTTATTCATTCATTTAAAATAAACAAAACAAATTCATCAAAAAAAATGTATATATGTATATATATATATACACATATATACTGTAGTGAACTCGGCCTCCGACCAAAACCTGCCTCTGAGGACCTTCAGGGGACAGGAAGTGTTATTTCATTGATTTGAATCCAGAAATACAAATTAGCTCATCCAGAGACTGTCTAATTGTATCCTGAAGTAATCAATTGAAAGAACACTCTTCTTTTATATTATCATTACTATTTTACAATATCTTGATAAATCAAAAGTGTGTTTAGTTCATACCATTTCTAAATGTTGAAGTGAACCACTCATTTTAAATCAACTGTGAAACAATATTAACGATTTTTTAATCCTCATTTAAATTAGAAATCAAGTTAAATGTCTAGTTACAAAGTAATTATGCATTTTGATCTTCTGTCTGAAATGAGAAGTAGTGATGTCGGTCGAAAGTCAGAAAGAAGTTATTAGAACCAAGTGTATTGTTTTTAAACCTAGCAGACGGTAAATAAGAAGCTACTGGAACCTGCTTGGCCTCACTTCGACATAACATGTCTTCTGTCTGTACTGGACGTTTCTAAAACATTCCTGCTGTTTTCTTGACTTGTAATGACCCTCTGACATCACTAGAACCACCCCCTGTTGGTTGTTTCAACCAATGAGGAAGTCCTGAAGTGACCGGAAGTGAGAACTCTTTAAGAGTCCACACTTCCTGGAACTTCTCAGTCTTCAGTCTTCTTGAGTCTTTGACCGGAGTCTTCCTGGGGTCTTCTTCAGTCTTTCATGGAGTCCTCCACTTCTGAGTGGAATCTCTGACTGAAGTATTCCTGAGAGTTCCTAAGGAACTTTCAGATTTAATCAATAGCTGATGGATTTGACCATGAGACGAGGGTCCGTCCATCCCAGCTGGAGTCACAGCACCTCGCTGTGAACTCACCCGGGCGTAACGCCCTACAACTTCTAAGGACGCTTATTCTGTTGAACGGAGTACCGTCACTACTTCGGACGATTCTCAGGCATCCTGACCGGAGACGCTGAAAGGTAGCGTTGAAATGGACCTCTGTACCGGAGCTAACCTATCTTCTGCAAAGGTAACGAGTCGCCACGCACCGAGTGTACCGGGGCTGAGCTGGGGTCGGATGAAGGGTGCCATTCCTAGTCAACACACTTTCCCTCATCCATATTTTCTCTCCATTTAAACTCCTTCATTTCCCATCTTTAAACTCTCCTATTTTGCCAGTAATCTAGATGCCTTCGTCAAGTCCTGTTGTCTTATTAAGTAAAACGTGCCAAGTTTTATTAATCAGAACCAGATCAGCTAATCAAGTGTACAATGTTTTGATGTTAAATTTTGATTCTGTTCAATAAATGACCGCATTTATTCTGATGGGTCAAAGGAAATTAACGTCTCATGTCACTGATTAAACAATCCACGCATAGTTACCTCGGTCACATGGCAGTAATTTAAATCAAAAAAGAGAGAACCCGTTTATTTAAATATATTGTAGTCAAGGGCAGCTAACCTAGCCCTTAGCACACTACAATACATATATATATATTTTTTTTTTGTTTGTTTGTTTGTTTGTTTGTTTTGTTTTGTTTTTTGTTTTGTTACCTTTTCCTTATAGCCATCCTATCTGTTAAAAAAAAAAAAAAACTGCAGTATGCTTTTTTATAACTGTTTATTGTTGTTGCTGTTGTCCATTGTTGTCATCTTTCTTTGTTGAAATCAGGTCTCTCTTGTAAATGAGTCCTCGAGGCTCAATGGGATTTACCTGTATAAATAAAAGTTGATATATATATATATATATATATATATATATATATATATATATATATACATACACATACCAACCGGATTCCAAAAAAGTTGGGACACTAAACAAATTGTGAATAAAAACTGAATGCAATGATGTGGAGATGGCAAATGTCAATATTTTAATCGTAATATAACATAGATGACAAATCAAAAGTTTAATCTGAGTAAATGTAACATTTTCAAGGAAAAATATGTTGATTCAAAATTTCACAGTGTCAACAAATCCCCAAAAAGTTGGGACAAGTAGCAATAAGTGGCTAGAAAAAGGAAATTGGGCATATAACGGACAGCTGGAAGACCAATTAACACTTATTAGGTCAATTGACAACATGATTGAGTATAAAAGAGCTTCTCAGAGTGTCTGTGTCTCTCAGAAGCCAAGATGGTAAGAGAATCACCAATTCCACCAATGTTGTGCAGAAAGATAGTGCAGTAATACCAGAATGGTGTTACCCAGCATAAAATAGCAAAGACATAAGTTATCATCATCAACCGTGCATAACATCATCAAAAGATTCAGAGAATCTGGAACAATCGCTGTGCGTAAGGGTCGAGGCCGTAAAACTCTACTGGATGCTCGTGATCTCCGGGCCCTTAAACGTCACTGCACCTCAAACAGGAATGCCACTGTCAAGGAAATAACAGAATGGGCTCAGAAATACTTCCAGAAAGCATTGGCAGTGAACACAATCCACCGTGCCATCCGCCGTTGCCAGCTGAAACTCTACAGTGCAAAGAGGAAGCCATTTCCAAGCAAGCTCCACAAGCTCAGACGTTTGCACTGGGCCAGGGGTCATTTAAAATGGAAGACTGTTCTGTGGTCAGATGAGTCACGATTTGAAGTTCTTTATGGAACACTGGGATGCCATGTCATCCGGACCAGAGAGGACAAGGATAGCTCAAGTTGTTATCAATGCTCCATTCAGAAGCCTGCATCACTGATGGTATGGGGTTGCATGAGCGCTTGTGGCATGGGCAGCTTGCATGTCTGGAAAGGCACCATTAATGCAGAGAACTATGTTCAGGTTCTAGAACAACATATACTCCCATCTAGACGTCATCTCTTTCAGGGAAGACCCTGCATTTTTCAACACGATAATGCCAGACCACATTCTGCAGCAATCACAACATCATGGCTACGTAGGAGAAGGATCCTGGTACTGAAACGGCCAGGCTGCAGTCCAGATCTTTCACCTATAGAGAACATTTGGTACATCATATAGAGGAAGGTGCGACAAAGAAGGACCAAGACGATTAAACAGTTAGAGGCCTGTATTAGACATGAATGGGAGAGCATTCCTATTTCTAAACTTGAGAAACTGGTCTCCTCTGTCCCCAGACGTCTGCTGAGTGTTGTAAGAAGAAGGGGGGGATGCCACACAGTGGTAAAAATGGACTTGTCCCAACTTTTTTGGGGTTTGTTGACACCCTGAAATTTGGAAATAACATATTTTTCCCTTAAAATGATACATTCTCTCAGTTTAAACTTTTGATCTGTGATTTGTGTTCTATTCTGAATAAAATATTAGATGTTGGCACCTCCACATCATTGCATTCAGTTTTTATTCGCAATTTGTTTAGTGTCCCAACTTTTTTGGAATCCGGTTTGTGTATATATATATATATATATATATATATATATATATATATATATATATCCACTTATACTCTCTTGTAAATGAGTCATCCAGGCTCAATGGGATTAACCTGTCTAAATAAAGGTTGAATGAATGAATATCCTACCTTGCACTATACCTTCCCAACAACTTTAACGTAATCATCTTTTTAAACGTATAAATTGTTTTACAAATGTTTATGGTGATATCAAGGCTATTGCAAAGTCCTACTCCCTGAATTACAACGCAGCGCTCCTTCTAGTTCTAAATGGAGGTTTTACAAACATTTCCAGTCTTTTAAGGTTATAATGACTCTCTTAAAAAAAAAAAAAAATTAAAAAAAATAACAACATTGAATATTTGGGGCTAATATTTTTTATGAGCTTTATGACCAGGTTAATTGAGAACCGGTTCTCTTTTTTAAACATGACCTGGTTTTAAACTGCAAAAATGTAGATGCGCCTGTATGATGTCAATTACGGTAAAATAGTAAAGCTGCTGAAACATGCTGACAGCAGCATGGTCGCTCTCTTTAGTTTATTTGTCTGTTTTAATCGGATGAAAGCCACTGTATGCACGTGCACAACATGTTTCTTATTTCTTATTTAATCAGAAACTGTTTTTGACTTGACTTTGACTGCGGACAGAGCTGAGGCACAGTTTTGTCAGAAGAACCTCCGGTGGAGACTCTTGTTTTGTATGGAGGGTTCTGACGCGTCTCTCCGTGGCCGTGTGGACAGACTTACCTGGTGGTCTTCAGCTGGAAGAGTTTTCAGAGCCACAGTGAAGTCGTGGCTGATCTTCCCTGCGCTGCAGATCCCCCACCTGGTAGCCATGTTGGAGTGTAGTTCCTTGTATGGAGCGCAATTGGTGTCAAAAAGATTCGTTCATTCATTCAACCTTTATTTATACAGGCTAGTGTCATTGAGCCGCAGTGACTCATTTACAAGAGCGACCTGTTGTAAACTCGTTTCACAAACTCGTAGAACAACATTTGTATGCTTACAACATGATTCACAAATGTAGTAAAACACTACGCTTACACATTGGAAAATGTGCGTGCACGCGGACCGCCTGCTGTGCACGCATCAGCTTGCCCGTGTTTATGACGTTTTGACACTTTTTTTACCGCACCCGATTCGCAAACGAGATGATGCGTTCAAGGCCTGAGAAAAGCTCGGATATACTTACCGCATTTTTGACGTTTTTTTTTTAAATTTAATATATACTTTTCTTCTATTTACTTTTTCAATTTAAATGCTTTCTTTTATGATTGTTTACTATTTTCATTGTTGCCTATTTTGTCATCATTATTAGTTAAAAAACAAACAAACAAACAGTTCTCTCATGTAAATGAGCCCTCAAGACTCAATGAGACTAACCAGTATAAATAAAGGTTGAATGAATACCAGCTATATTTATATTAAAGACATGACTTAAATAACATTCTAAAAATGTGAATTTTGTAGAACTGCTCAAATGCACTAATTTAAATGGGTAAGTTCTAGCAAAATAAAAACTACCTCAAAACTGACGAGATTCGCAGCCATATATTGTAGACGCCTCACTGAGCGCTTAATCGTAAATCGATGTCGCCGCCATATTTGATGTGGCAAAAATTAAGTGATAGAAGCTTAAAATGACCAGATTTCTGAAATAAAATCTGGGGTAATTTCCATCTCGAAGACAAAAAATAATTAAATGTTATCAAGATGAAAATAAGAAATGGGGACACTGTTTAATTTATTTTTACATAGTTATTCATGTTTAAACAATAAAAAATAAAATGTAGCAGCAGGTATATGCCTCTCCACACTGTTGTGAACATTTCCTAAGTAATAAAATGAATAATGTAATAGTAGTAGTAACAGAGTACTAAAACTGGGATGGTGGTGTATACTAATGTAAATGAATGTGCGTAAATTTGTGCATGGATGTGAACATGTTCATCCAGTGATGCTTGAAAGTGTGTGAGCTCTTTAACACAAGTCCTAAAAGTAGATAAAGAGAACCCAGTTAAACAAATGAGACGAAATATTATACTTAGTTATTTATTTATTGAGGAAAATGATCCAATATTACATATTTGTGAGTGGTAAAAGTATGTGAATTGCTTTCAGTATCTGGTGTGATGCCCCACCCTGTGCAGCAATAACTACAACTAAATGTTTCCAGTATGTTGATCAGTCCTGCACACAGACTTGGATGAATTTTATCCCATTCCTCCATGAACAGCTTCAACTCTGGGATGTTGGTGGGTTTCCTCACATTAACTGTTCACTTCAGGTCCTTCCACAACATTAAGGTTAATAAGACTGGATCAAGGTCAGGACTTTGACTTGGCTGTGTTGGGATGCATGAGAGAAGCAGAGCATGCTCTATTCACACAAGGAGAGCTGTTGGTCAGGCTGCTTCTTGGTGTGCAGAGTTCTCTAAAATAGATATTGAATTATGTGTTTATTTATGTATGTATAGATGTTTAACAACCCGTTAAAATACAGCAGCATGCAGGAAATGGTATCTACTTTACTCAAAATTTTCTGGGAGAGGATCTCCCCACCAGTGTGTCCCTCCCACATTCCAAATACTTCTGATGCCAATGGATAGATCCCTGTTCTTTAAGTCAAACAGGGTGCCCACTCACACATGATCATATCCCAGTGAATGAAAACACCTGACTCTAATTTTACCTTCAAATTAACTGCTAATCCTAGAGGTTCACATACTTTTACCACTCACAAATATGCAATATTGGATCATTTTCCTCACTAAATAAATGACCAAGTATAACATTTTGACAAGTGACAAGTATAACGCATATAAATGTGTCCTTTTTGCAGATGACACCACATTTTTTTGTTTGGGTAAAGATATAAAACGGATATTGGAATTGATGAAGACAGAATTTGATCAAATACAAACTTGGTTTAAACTTAATAAATTATCATTAAATTAAGATAAAACTAATTACATGATATTTAGTAACAAAAAGAGAACTGTTGATGATCCATTTAAAATTGAGGGTGTTGAGATTTGTAGAGTTAATGAGATGAAATGTTTGGGTGTAATCATTGATGAACAGCTAACATGGAAAAATCACATAAATTCTGTAAGAATAAAAATATCTAAATCTATTGCAGTACTATACAAAGTCAGGGAATTATTAAATGATAAAGCTCTGTACATGTTGTATAACACAATCATTGTTCCACATTTAATCTATTGCATTGATGTTTGGGGGAAAGTGTGTAAAACATTTACAAAACCTATTTTTATTTTACAGAAAAGAGCTGTAAGAATTATCACCAGAAAGCATTACTGTCACCCATCAAGCACATTATTTTATCAACTGAAGTTATTGAAGTTCCACAAAGTTGTTATAATCTTAAGGGGATAGAGATATTTGTCAAACCAAAATTCAGAACTAGTCTGAAGGGAAGGTCTACCTCAATCCAAGGAGTTGGATTGTGGAATGTTCTAGAGAGTGATGTGAAAAATGCCAAGTCAATGTGTACATTTAAGAAAAAGATCAAAGCTGAATTGTAAAAAAAAAAACATATATGAAGTAGCTTAGTGTGTTTTTTTTGTATTAGAATTAGAAAAATTAAAAAGAGTTATTCATTTTGTTCTGTTACTTGAAAATTATTATGATTGAACTACTTTTTTGAAAAAAGGGGCAGATATAATACGATTTTTTCTTCTTTCTGCTGCCTTTCATTTTAAATCTCTTGTATCTTTTTTATATTGTTATGGAATTGTTTTGTATTTTTTAAAATGAATAAATTTTATACCATTTTTGTCTCATTTGTTTAACTGGGTTCTCTTTATCTACTTTAAGGACTTGTGTGAAAATCTGATGATGTTTCAGGTCACATTTATGTAGAAATATAGAAAATTATAAAGGCTTCACAAACTTTCAAGCACCTCTGTATGTACATGTTGACATTCATGCACACGCTCACTTACATTAGTGTACCCCCACCTCCAGTTATAGTACTCTGTTACTATTATTACTTTATTTGTTTTATTACTCTTAGGAAATGTTAACAACAGCGAGATACATTTTTGCTGCTACATTTGATTTTTATTGTTTAAACGTGATCTGTAAAAATACGTGAAACCGTAACTGTCGCCGTTTTTTAATTTCATTTGGATAATATTACTTTTTTTTGTTGTCTCCGAACTGGAAATGTCCCCAGAATTAATGTCAGAAATCTGGTCACACCTCAACAGAGAGCCCTGAGGGTCCTGAGGGCAACAAGATTCTCAGGATTCTTGGAAGAGTACAGGGTCTAACCTGTCTTGAAGTGCTGAAACTAGACAAAAACCTGGTGGGTTGGAATGTTGTTTATGGGAAGGCGTGTGGTTTGCGAGCACTAAGGATATCTGGTCCCATCAATCTGGTTACAGGAAACAACACAGCACAATGACTGCTTCGCTGAAGGTTTTTAATGCTAAGGATTATTGTGCTGCACGCTACTTAGACCTGTCTAAAACTTTTGACACTGTGGATCATGACACCTTATGTCATACGCTCTCAGAAATTGGTTTCTCAGATCATACCATTGGCTGGTTCACTCACCATCTCTCAGATCGGAGCAGTGTTGTATAAAGGACCTCAAAGTGATACTTCAGTGAAAGTACAAGTATCTTACCATTAAATTACTTTGGTAAAAGTTAAAGTCTCCTTTAAAATGATTACTTACGTAAAAGTCTTAAAGTATCGGACATTTAACGTACTTAAGTATCAAAAGTAAATGTCTCTTATAAAATGTATTTAAAGTAAGAGTAAGTAAAAGTAGATGGGTAGAATTTCCAAAACGTTGGTTACGTACTGTAACCCCAGATTCTATGAATATAGGCGTAGCCCTTTAAGGCTGTCGCTGATGGGTTTATCCCGTTATGCGCAAGCATCGTACTGAAAAAATTAGTCCACGCCCACCTGCTGTGTGGGCCCCACCCGATCCGTATAAATTACGTTAAGAGCGGGTAATCTGCTCCCAAATAGCTTATTCTTTTCTTCAGCTATTCAGGAGCCAGTGAGGCCCGACGCTTAAAGGGCTACGCCTATATTCATAGAATCTGGGGTTACAGTACGTAACCAACGTTCTATGTCATATAGGCTTCGCCCTTTAAGGCTGTCGCTGATGGGTTAAGGGCGAAGCGGATGTGGTCCTCGCCTCACTGGGTCCATTCGAACACAGTAAGAAGCGGAAGCTTGCCCAAAAAACGTCTTGTCATTCAGCTCCCCATGTGCATAACTACGCATCGCGTAATTGTGTGCCATGCACAGACGCATGTTGTGCAACTATGCGTTCTGACAAGCATGAATGCCCCGGAAAAACTTTCAACGGGGAAGATATTAAAAAGAGGGGGGGGGGGGGGGGCATGAAGCAACTGATTCATGATTGAACAGTATAAACAGATTAATATCAATGAACTGATTATTGAACAATGAACTGATTGGTAACAATAGTCATGAACTGATTAGTGACAATAGAACCAAAAATCACAGACACAACTTGTGGCTGATAACAACATCTCACACTGTAATGCATGCAGACAGATGTGAGTTTAAACAGAGTTCCATGAGAACAACAATATTCATTCTGTTAGAGCACTAAGGACAGAATGTGTCATGGAACGAGCCGTTACATCACGTAGGTAAAAGCGAATAAATGAGCAGGGTGTTGACCATGCAGCCGCAGTGCAAATGTCCTGCATTGACATACCATTATGCAGAGCAGTCGAAGATGCGATACCCCTGGTTGAGTGTGCTTTGAGATTGACAGGAGGCTCTAGATCTGATGCTCTGTAGGCTTCAGAAATGGCCTCACACA